ACACTGGGCAGCTGATACATAATTGAATAAGTAGAGTTGTTGAAACATTTGTTTAACAACAAGTAAAAGCTTAGAATAGTCAATTCTTTCCACTCCTCATCAGTGACCCTCACTATACCCCCTCGATACCTCACTACTATAAAGGCTTGGTTTGGTCTGAAGTTTCATTCGGTGGTAGTGTCCAGGGTCACTGATGAGGAGTGGAATTCTCCGAAACTAGTCTGGCCCACGGACACACCACCAATGAAAGAATAGACCTTTCCAAGCTTTTACTTGTTGTTAAACAAATGTTTAAACAACTCTGTTCAATAATCTTCATAATTAGCCATTAATAGAAAACAATCGTAAACATTTTTTTATGTAAGTAACCTAAAGCAAGTTTACGAAATTTTTGTGAGGTTAATGTGTAACTTATTTTACTCAGTTTTAAATTAAAACGTTATCCTTGCTATTCTTGTTGATAAGTTCTTCATTAACAATGCTTGTACTATAGAGGGTTAATTGAGCTTTATTTGAACGATTTGTATGTGCTAATACGGTAGCATGTCGCCTCAGTTTCAACTGTAGTGCCACAGGCGATATATTTTGCCCCTAAGTATTTGATTCTTCACAAATTCTCACCCACTTGATCGTGCAGTACAGTGACATGTAGTCTTGTGGCTGGAGGAATACAAAGCCTCCCCGAATAAACTTCATATTGCGAGATTGGTATATGATGTAGTGCTAAAGGACACAGTGTCTTGGTAAAGGGATACTTTAATATCCTCCATGGAAGCGGAAACAACTTACACAGCACAGAATTTAGGGCAATAATATGCTTCGCAACCACACCTTAACTTAACCAAGAGCAATTCTTTTCATCTACAAAGTAAAAGCTGTAGTTACGAAAGAGAACCGTCCGACTCAAAAAGTTATTACGTTGAAGCTGGGCATATCTTATACCTTTAGCAAGGTAATAAACTAGAAAACTCATAAGTTAGAGGTTCACAAACTTCAAGTCACACCTTGAAATCAAAGGTTGTCTTCATAAGAAAACATGGTCTAAGAAATTGGAATCACAGCAATGTCATTTCACCAAATGCCTGTCATGGACTTCATGCCTTTGACCTACTTAAACATGGCTTTAGAGTACGGGATCTGTAGAAAGCTTGTCTATATTTGTGTTCTAAGAGTGACTTTGCCATATATGTAAAAACGCAAGTTTTGACATATTTACAAAGGAATTTACGTTGTTCAGTGTATAACCACAGTCAACAAAGTGAGAACGACGGATGATGGAGGAAGTAGTTTTAAAGACAGCTAATGTTCTTAACAAAGGACGATTTATCTCAATAAGTTGAAAATATTCCGGTGTTGCAGTGTCTTCATACACATTTACATGACTACAAAAATCACACACCAGCAAATCAAGAGTAGCCTAATTCTAATTCAACTCGTATATTTATAGCAGGAAGGAAATCCGATCTTGTGTTGGTAACAAATGAGGGAATAAAAATGATAACATGTTACAAATAGCATTAATTATATTAGTTAATTATTCAAATTAATACGTATTTCCTACTCTTATTAAGATTAATCCTGTTAGGGCTCATGCACTCTTCCTTATCCATGTTCTATTTGTTGCCATATTGTAGTTGATATTTTATTTATCATCTTAACAAAAACGCATTTGGAAATTAGAATGAAATCTTATCTTTATTTCACAAAGTCAGTTAAATGTGAATATTTTACATTCTCTCTCACCAGTCATGAAACGTCAGGTGATCAGCGCGTGGACAGAAGCGATGAAAGGAACACACAATAGGGAACTAAGAAAGTTTTCTCACGTTAGTAAAGTTGCATTAGTGATTTTGTTGGACCAAGTGGTGTCTCTTTTTGGTTTAAATACGAATGTTTTTCATGCCTAATATTCTCAAAAGAATATCAAATATTTATTAATTACGTTGAGTTTATGAATTAGTTGGGTACTTTCGCTAGGAATGATGTTTTCTGCTGTAAATTTATGATGTATTGTTTATAGTGTTCAGTTTGTGATATGTTGTGTGGGTTAAGTTAAAAGATTATTAACAATATGACGCTTTCAGTCTAATGGTAATTATTACAACCTTTTCAAGTTGGTTATACGTTGTATTACAACAATTCGATTATTTACTGGGTTGTTTGGTTGTATTATATCTAATTGTATCTGATATAATTATCTCAAGTTACTGGTGTCCTCTTTTAAATTATTAAAATAGAGTTTAATTTACTAAAATGCTTTCACTCGAGCTAATAATGCCTTTTGATTCACAAAATGCTTCGAACTGAATATCGTCTGCCTAATCCTCTTAAGTTTATGTGTTACCTATTTTGGGCACTGTAACCTATATTACAAAAACAATATTCTAATTAAAAACGTAAGCCTATGATCATATGAGAGTCTCGAGCAGAACTGACTAGAAACTAATTAAATAACTGTACTTTTCCTGTTCATATACAGAAGAAGATAAAAGAAAATAACCATTATATTTCCAGTGATCATTTTAAGATTTAACTTTTGGATCATTCACCCATAAAACATTTCTCAAAGAAAGTTTATTGATATTAAAAGAGTAGTTAAAAGTTTTTCAACTATTTCTATGTGACATGAACGTCTGTTTTTTATTCATCTAGAAACACAACCCCTTTGTTCAGTCAATCCTTTTAAGAACTGTCGATATATATAGTTCTATGTGACATGAACGTCTGTTTTTTATTCATCTAGAAACACAACTCCTTTGTTCAGTCAATCCTTTTAAGAACTGTCGATATATATATTTCTATGTGACATGAACGTCTGTTTTTTATTCATCTAGAAACACAACTCCTTTGTTCAGTCAATCCTTTTAAGAACTGTCGATATATATATTTCAGCACTTTTCACGTAACTTTTGTGTATATTATTTGTTCCACTTTTAATGTGAGTTTGCTGTTATAGATTGTTGTGATGGAACTTGTAGATTCTGTAACGCGTCCGTTGAACAAGTTTGTTTATAATTGTTGCCTAGTTGATCTAATTTCTCATTGGACTCTAACCTCCGTATAATTAAATCTGTGTTGAATCCAAGCTACAGAGTTAACTTATATTACTATGTTTAGTTTTTGAAGTTAGAATAGTTGTCATTTCCTTCAAATTAGTGATGGTTGGTGGTATTTTTTTGTAAACGTGTCGGTTCCTAACGCTATTATAATTTTTCCTTTCTGTCACTGATACTTAAGGCCTTATCCATCAGTTGTTGATGCGCTACGCTTTTAATCTCGTGTTATCAGTGTGTCATTGTTTCAGTATCTTGTTGTTAATGTGCCATTGTTTCAGTCTCGTGTTATCAATGTGTCATTGTCTCAGTCTCGTGTTATTAATGTGTCATTGTTTCAGTATCTTGTTATCAATATGCCATTGTTTCAGTCTCGTGTTATCAATGTGTCATTGTTTCAGTATCTTGTTATCAATGTTTCAGTCTCGTGTTATCAATGTGTCATTGTTTCAGTAGTGTATAATTAGTGTGTCATTGTTTCAGTAGTGTATAATTAGTGTGTCATTGTTTCAGTAATGTATAATTGGTGTGTCATTGTTTCAGTAGTGTGTCATTGTTTCAGTAGTGTATAATTAGTGTGTCATTGTTTCAGTAGTGTATAATTGGTGTGTCATTGTTTCAGTAGTGTGTAATTGGTGTGTCATTGTTTCGGTAGTGTGTAATTGGTGTGTTATTGTTTCAGTCTTGAGTTATAAATATGTCATTGTTTCAGTAGTGTATAATTAGTGTGTCATTGTTTCAGTGGTGTATAATTGGTGTGTCATTGTTTCAGTAGTGTGTAATTGGTGTGTTATTGTTTCAGTCGTGTGTTATCAATGTTTTACGATTTCAGTAGTGTATAATTAGTGTGTCATTGTTTCAGTTTTGCGTTATCAATGTGTCATTGTTTTAGTCGTGTGTTATCAATGTGTCATTGTTTCAGTAGTGTATAATTAGTGTGCCATTGTTTCAGTCTTGTGTTATCAATGTGTCATTGTTTTAGTCGTGTGTTATCAAAGTGTCATTGTTTCAGTAGTGTATAATTAGTGTGTCATTATTTCAGTCGTGTGTTATCATTGTGTTACGATTTCAGTCTCGTGTTATCAATGTGTCATTGTTTCAGTAGTGTGTTGTCAATGTGTTACGATTTCAGTAGTGTATAATTAGTGTGTCATTGTTTCAGTCGTGTGTTACAATTTCAGTCTCGTGTTATCAATGTGTCATTGTTTCAGTAGTGTGTTATCAATGTGTTACGATTTCAGTAGTATGTAATTAGTGTGTCATTGTTTCAGTTCTTCAGTAATATATACCTCATCAGTAATTTCAATAAGATATGTTAGTAGTACTTCTTGAAAAAGTTCTTTTATACTATATATTATAGGATGTTTCAAAAACTTATAAGTGATGTGTTTGTTTCACTGATTCATGATGACACACTATTCTTTGTCTCTTCCTTTAGAATAAGAGTCACTTTGGGCTTATTAAAGAGCACGAAGAAAAAGTCATTTCTTCCGTAAGTAAAATCTCGCTACGGAGGATGATATATATTTACCCTAGTTATTTATATAGATTTAATATATTGTTTAGTAACAGTTTGTTTGTCTTTTATTATACTTAACAAAAATACATTGGTCACACCAACTAAGAGTTAGTTTGCGACGAATGTCAGTAATTCTGTAGTACAACCCGCTGTCTTTCACAAACACTTCATTCGTGTAATTAAACCAAGTTCATACTGGCAAATTTTACGTTCTAATTGCTCAGTGATTTTACCTGTCTAAATTTTCAAGCGTTTGAGCTCCGCGAACCATTTTGACAGCAGAGCGAAGCTCCCAACCTAATCATTCTCTATTTTAAACTAAATTGGATATGTATATGTTTTCTTTTTTTTTTTTGTAAACAGCTTCTGAATAGTAAATTTTAATTACATGCAAAACAAAACAAAAATAATACAACAACAACAAAACCCATCCCGACCGTTTGCCACTAAGCCAAGAAATCAAGAATTTGCTTCGTGTAACTAGAATTTTCTACTTAAATAACACACACGGACGTGAACTAACCGAATGAGAGGCCCATAAGATATAGATACATCTGCCCTTAGTGTTGAACTACTGACAAAAGAGAGAGATTAACAAGATTGGTTTACTTTTATAACGCGCCCACAACTGAAAGTACTGACCAGGTTCAGTAGAATTTAATCTCGAACCTAATGCTTCTATCTACCTTGGAGATCCCGTCTAGTAAACAAAACTCGGTGAAAGGATCTCCAGACTAAATAAAATAAGTTTCTTGATGTCAAAACGAAGCTTAAACTAGTGTCCGACATTACATATATTTGTAGAGGGATCTTATTATGTACTCATCTTTAATGAGTTTCCATTTAATGATTGGCCTATCATCATCACAAGTTTACAACAGTTCCTCTTCAGGTGGACCAATTATCCAGTCCTGTTTGTGGGGACACTCTCCTGGAAACCAAAATATATTATTATTCAGCTGGTTGGGGCTCTCCTGGAGATCAAAATGAGACTTTAGTGTGATTCGATTCTGCGTCTAGGTACTTCTCAAGAAAATGGCAATATATATGTGGATTCCAATATTCCCGGACGAATTGGAAAATTCGAAGATGAAGTTTGTAATCCTGCTAAAATAGTCTGAGACCTGTATAATTTGAGTCATTAGTTTAGTTGGAAGATGACAGTTAACAAAACGTAGGCTCAAACCCCACTCTGTCTCAGTCTTTACTCCTGAAAGAATATTTACAGCGAATGCGCACTATTTTGATATTTGACAAGTACGTTAGCGGTGTATTACTAACGTTATAAGTGTTTCTGAATTCCATATTATTTACTCAATGATTCAGTAGTTACTTGTTCGAGCTTAGCTTGGCCAATAAGGTCATACCGAAACCTCTCTATTTGGTCTCTTTCGACTTCTACATCCAAATCCTTTCTTTACCGTAAAGTTGTTTTGACCCATATGGTGATCATCAAATAAAATCAATAGTCAGATGATATTAGATAGCGATATAGGTGTCAACAAAGTTATTTATTTTACCATGAACTTTTTATGAATATGTATGTAATTAAATTTGGCCATGTCACAGAGTAATAGTTACAAAAGTTTTAAGTTTAGGCAATGAAGAGATGTCGTTATCACCTCTGTGCCAGAAAATGTATAATGTTTATTTTGTAGGTTCCTTTACCAATCAAAATATTATTGTATGAGGAAGTGAAGCCTATAATTCATTGGACTTCTAAAGGTAGGGTACAGTTAGCTTGATCCTATAAGTGTTAATGCTTATTTTCTTATAAAATACTTAATTTATTTGACCAACTTATGATTTTTACAGCGTTGTTGTTGTTAATGCAGAATACTGATTTAAAATGACTGTATTAGAATATTTTTCTTTTCTGTTAGTTTCCATAAATGTTTGGCTTATAATATACTGGTAATGTAGCCCCCAGTGGCACAGCGGTATGTCTGCAGACTTACAACGCTAGAAACCGGGTTTCGATACCCGTGGTGGGCACAGCACAGATAGCCCATTGTGTAGTTTTGTGCTTAACTTCAAACAAACAAACTGGTAATATATCTCGTTAACTGGGGTACATGTCACTGAAGAATCAAACTCATCCAAGGAAGAGTTTTTTTTTGTCTTCTAATTTTGTAGAGCATAAGTTAGCACAACTAAAACAGAATTATGCGGTTTCTAGTCGGATGTTATGTTGCTATTGTTATTTATATACTTTTTCTCCCATCTTTTTACTAACTCCGGTTTCTTGGTGTCTTTCACAGGATACAAAAATCAGCTGGGAGCACATAACAAACTGGCAGAAGAAGCGGTTCAGTACGATAAAAAGATCACACAAGAATTGAAAGAATTGAAGTTGTTAGATTAATTTGTGTAAACATAAACATCATATTCTTACCTTTATTGAATTCTAATTTTTATTTTTAAGGTTTCAAAAATAAAATTATATGAAATATAGAAAATGTAAGGACAGGATATTACAGAAGTACATCAGAAAAGTAGATAAGTAAAGTCTGTGGAAAACGAATTGTTTAATATATACACATGTTATAAAAATGTACTTAATTTCTTTTTTTTTTACACATTGACGAGCACTGGTCCTATAACAGAGATATGAACACATTATAATATGAAAGTTATGCGCCTGTATAATGGAGCAGGTGGAAACAAAGAGGTTTCGGAGGTTTACATATGAGAGGACAGTTTAGGCCTAGTTTAATGCACTGGGGTGAAAGATGTGAAGAAAATCAGAGAAAAAGCACAAGCAAACTGAATGCAAAACATAAACAGTTAATAACCAACTTAGGTGATCTATTTTTTATTTTAGTCTTTCTTATCTTGACTTATCTACAGTTACAAATATTATTTTGAAACATATCTATATAAATATAATAGTACTATCAGTTATATGTCCATGTAACTACTTCGCAGGGTGTAGATGGATCTTCACCAAAATTGGCATGAAGGTTCATTAGGTCCATGCGAGGGTACATACAAATTTCCATTTTTTATTTTGCGGTTTTATTGGAATTTTTGCGTTTTTTACCGCTATTTCGCCACCTGTTGATGGATCTTCACCAAATTTATATGAAAGCTCATTAGGTCCATGCGAGGGTACATACAAAATTTCACTTTTACATTTTGCGGTTTTTACCACTACTTCGCCCCCTATAGACGGATTTTCACCCTATTTGGCGTGGAGATTCATTGAGTACTTGGGAAGATACATACAAATTTTCAGATTTGCATTTTGCGTTTCTCTCTCTTTTTTTTTTTTACAATTACATATAAGGGAAGCAACTTTTCATGTCCTGAGATAACCTTTCATTAATCATGAATTTACGTAACTTCTGTCCAGGGGACGGGTACTCCAGCTAGTATATATATATATATATGTTAATAATGAATAATTATTTTTGATTAAAAACTCACTTGAAGCTGTGAAAACCATAAACTTATCGAAATGTTTGGAGAGGGGCGAAGTGGGTGTTGGCCGCCTGTATTGAATATGGAGGAGGCCCTGGTTATTGCAAATAATCTAAAAGTGATCACAGAGTTTGTATCACTGATGACTGTATATACATCATTGAGGTGACGGAGGTTATGTTTTCACCCCTGTGTGTGTGTGTGTATGTATTTATTTGTGTGTTTGTCAGAGAGAAAAAGGCTGAATGGATTTGGACGAAAGTTGGTATACATTTGGAATATAACCCAGCTTGAAAGTGATTAGTTTTTGGAGGGTCAAGGTCACAACAATAGCACAAAAATAAAAAAATCCCTATCTGTTAACATGGAGACCGATTTTTTTTTACACTATTTTTGCTATATAATGATCGGAATTTGATGAAACTTGGTGGACATATGTAGAATATTATTCCTCAATGTCCTTCCTAAAATGATCCATATCCGTTGATAACGACGGACATACGGACACATTGTCATATTTTTTTTAGGTGGCGGAGGTATGCGCTCTACTGAGTGCCCCTCTAGTTGTAATTTGTATTAAATTCTATATAAATTATGTCTTCCTTCTATATATAAATTCTGTTACATCTAAAATGTGCAAATAAAAAACTGATACATTTAATGATAAAGTAAACAAAAACCCTCATTAGTCTTATAATTTTATGAGGTTAACGTATTTCGGATATTAAATATTGACGTCTTCATTTCGTTTAAGTTTTTCTATTAAATTATGTTGCTTTGGATAAACAGTAGATCACGTGCTCGAAGAATTTCACAATTTGAAATATATTTATTTACGATATTCACAACGTTATCCATTTATCTATATATACTTGTATGATTGTATACAAATCTGAATTTCTGTGTATTTCTTTGTGTGCTTGGATAGAAATCTATATTTATTTGTCTGTACGTCTGTTTATAAATTTGTATTTCGACTGGTATTTTTACAACCACGCCTAGAAATCTACATCTCTGTCTGTTTGTATGCTTCTCTATAAATTTGTGGTTTCGTCCATATGTTATAAGCAAATCTAAATATTAATATATTTATATTCGGTTTGTCTACGATCATCCACCTGCACTAATACCTATATGTCTTTTGTAAATTGATCAATGGTGTTCTGTTCCTGTGTCTTTGTACCTAGTATTCAATAGGTCAATCGGTTTATATTTACTATTCTACTTGCTCAGGTGTGTTTGGAAAGTTACTGTACCGTCCAACTATAAATATATTTATATTTGTCTGCTAGTATAATATTTCTCTCTCTCTCTCTCTATATATATATATGGTTGTCGACACCAGGTGCTTCAACGGTAAGTCTGAGGGCTTATAACGCCAAAAATAGGAGTCAGAGCACAGATAATCGCTTTTGTAGCTTTGAGGTTAACAAAAATTAATAAAACATTATGTTTGTATGTTAGTATAGGCTGTCTCGATCTACCAACTTGTCTTTCAGCTATTTGACATGGATGATAAGGTGTTACATAAATGTATTTTCAGGAAGTTATGCGACAAGCGAGTAATTTGGTATAATCTGTAACCTAAATCTGACAAAACCATTTATATATACTAGCTGAGGGTACCCGTTAAGGAAGCAAGTATTGTATAAAGGATAATGTTAGATAATGTGCCCTACCTCTTTTCTTTTGTTATTAAATCCTTAATGACCTCATTAGATGCTAATTACATACCCTATTTTGTGGAAAGTAAGAATTGGCTCATTTAACTGATTAAGTAAAATATCTATAAACAAAAAAGAGGAAATCCTCAATGGCCGCGGCACTTGAAATTCTTTTAGGCACAATTAGAGTAAATTAATCTATGAGTTTTTTGTTTCCCTTTTTTAATAGTTATATTTTTGTGCGCCAGCAATACCAAGCGTAGGGTGCGCGTATATCCGATTCGATTTTATTACTAATCAGGATCTCTAACAGCCTACCCTCAATTTGAAATTCTTTTAAGCAGGATTAGAATAAATTAATCTATGAGACCTTGGGCGTGGTCAAATACATCAATCGAAAGAGTTTGACCTATTGGGTCCAAAAGTGTAATTAGATCCCAAATCGGTCAAAAGATGACGGAGCTATAAGTTAAAAGTTTGTACTTGAAAAACAAACAAACAAAAAACTCAGAGCCGTTCTATGAGCTGCTCATCCGCGGCTAAAAAGTGAAAATGTAATGTGTCTTAATCTTCTTCTCAGGATAATATCCTAAAACAAAATAGCCCCTATACGCCGTCGGACAGTTTCCAGTTACCATATAAAACATAGGTAATCGAACCAGCCAACTCTAGGTGAGAGAAGACAAAATTCTATAAAAAAAGTAGAAATGAACTTTATTTTAGGTTATTTTTTTATCCCTCTTCTTGGACAAAACAGCCCATGTACATCGTCTGGCAGTTTTCAGTTGCCATACAAAAATTACGGTGATAGAGCCAGATGTAAGTTGGCATGGTCTGGTTGATGCTAAGGCAATCGTCATTTAATTTATAGGTCGCGATCTCCAATACATCCACCAGACTGACGGGGATTCGAACCCGCAGATTGTGAGTCAAGCAGATTGTGATATTAGTCTTGCAAACGTAAAAGTTGTATATATATATATATATATATATATATTCTAGTAGCCAATGTTCCCTCTAATTTTTTCTAATCCTTGTGCGGAATGAATTTTTCTATGTGCACCAGTATCAAGGCAATGCGCTGATGTGCGCTATCAGTTATTTTTAGGAGGGGTATTTTTTTGACCATCGACCCTATTGGATCATCAGACCGCTTTGCAATGCTACCAGTTGGTTATTTGGGCTTTATGCCTATCGACTGTCAGTGTCGTTAAGGCCGTCAACGTGTTGAGACTCCTCACCATTACTGAGGATGTGCGCGGCTGGAATAATGAAGTGCGCGGCATTTGATTGGTTGTTGTGCGGCCGCGCAGCTTAGAGGAAACACTGCAGGTATCTGTTATAATTCCTAAGTACACTTAACACTAAAAAAATAAGTTAAATAGTTAAAACTGTGAAATTATTATTAGGGAATCATTTATTTCGTCTTCCAGTTACAAATATTTCAAACCTGTTTAAAGCAAAACAGCTATTTTACAGTTTATATTTGAAACATGCCAGTTTCCATATAAACTGTTTCCTATAAAATTATATAATATAGACTATTGTGCTTAAATTAGGAACCACTCAATCATCACCACGTGTTTTAAGTTCAAAACATCTTAAGTTCT